ATATAAGAATATTCATTTCCGTTCAATAATATTACTAAGGCTTATTAATAAGGCTTACTAAGAACTGTTTCTACCACAGTTAAGTAATTGTTAGGGGTGAAAGCGTGACAGTTGGTAATAGTATTTCTGATCCATACTTATAATCACGCCTGTAACCCTTGCGGGGTAGGCAGAGCATCAACGGGAATCAATTAGAAAACAATCAATTAGAAAACAAACTAATCTTATAATTCAATGTCTGTAGTTATTGTAACGTTATTGTACGTTATAAGAACGACTTATGTAGCGAAATTGAGGTTTTACCACATCTCGACAGTAGCTTCAAGTTTGAGCACGCCTCACAACGTGAGGGAGTGCTCAAACTTGAAGCTGAAGGTAACCGGTATGGTATAATAGTAATGTTGAATACTGCCCCGAGATTATAAGTTCTGTAAAGTATTTGAAACATCGGGAATATATTGTGATGTATGTAGCCCATACGACACCTGTGTTAAGTTTATGACATACTACAAATATAAACCTCCTAAGTGCAACATGTCTCCTCATTGACACTTCTAAACATTCTTGTTGACTCTGCCAGGATCTAAGAATGGTGGAGGGTGCGATACATGTTGCTCTTAGTAGATGTTTTATAAGAATATATCATAAACGAAACTCAATTGTCGTGCGGAATTCATTTGGGTACATTTTAAATAACAGTTCTATGGTATTGTTTTTAATTTTACGTGATTATTTATCTTCTTAGCTAAATTTTCAATTCTTGGATTTCAACGTGAAAGACACTAACAACAAACTTAAGTTTAATGGCTTGGTTAAAACGTCAAACGTCTGGTTGTATATAACGACATAATAAACCAGTTACCTATCTAACATTACTGATACAGCAGTAAAGAGTGAAAGATGAATCATAAATGTATCTTCCAGGATCAGTTATCATCTGCGCATCTTGATCTGGTAAGTATTCTTCTAAAATTTTGTTGATACGATCAGCCACTTCATGATAAATAATTTATAAATTATTATCATGAAACTTTAATATTTTAATCAAACATTGCCAAATATTTTGAAACAACATGTATTTCAGAACACGCTTTGGGCCAGCGCAGTGCGGCAAACTCTTGCTGTCCTAAAAATCATCTAAGACATAACAAAGGGTCTGTGCCCTGATGTGATGTATATATGTTATTTAGTAGTATAAATTCACTTTACTATACTTTAAATATATACATGGAATATATTTCCATCCCTCATTAATAACCTATAAAATTCTACTACTGAACATAGGCCTCCCCCAAGGAATGCCATAAAGCATGGTCCTTATCCAACTGCATCCATCGACTTCCTGCATATCTTATCAGGTCGTTATTCAACCTAATGGGAGACCGCCTTACACGTCGCTTACCGCTACAATACTGCCACTTAAAACGTTTTTTTCCAATGACATATCCTTACATATTCCTTACATTATATCATGGAGTGCAGGGTGTGAGAATATGCCAACAACAAGTGATGGAGAAGAATATAACCGGATCGAAAGTAACAGCACAGCGTTCACTAACCCATTTGCATGCATATATATGTATATGGTGCATATTATGGTGAGTGTAGCGAACCGGAAACCATATTTACTGGAAAAGAGGCATTCCATCTAAGCCCTCACGGCTGACAACGCATCTGCAGTTTGATTCTCAAACGAGGATAGATGTAGATGTCTATAGGCCACAGCAACCACTCACCATCAGGTGGACTCGGTGCTCGCCTGTCACCCTTATCCTATAAAAATATTAAGAAGGCCCTATGTTCATCAGTGAACTCACCAAAATCTATAGGAGATTGTTTTGAATAATACATCAAGAATTATTTAACCAGATGGATCACGTCCAATTAGGAATCCTATCCACAGTTTGAAAAGTCATTTGTTTCACTAAAAATGTTGTCTGAAAGTATAGGAACAAAAGTAAAAAGGTAATTTTTGTTATATGCTGTGTATTTCGACAAATAGCAATGAAACAAAAAATAGGGTTTAAGCCGGTCGGGGCTCGACAGAACCTGTCCTAATGTAAATCAAAGTAAAAGGCGTTCTGAAAGTGTCATCCCGAGTCATCCTGTTACAATAATTTTTCATAATTTCTTTTTTTATTTTCAAAAGTAGAGCGGCAAAAAGAAAAAAATAAAAGTACTAAAAAAAGTCTTGGTAGCTCAAGACTTAACGCTCGCTAAGTACGCAAGCAACCCGGGTTTGATGCCCGGCAGCACCAAGGAAATTGTTCGTTGCAAATTTAAGTGTTGATTTACCACGTGCTTGGCGGCGAAGGTCCAAGTCAAAGGCCTTCTCATAGTCCAGAACTGCTAGATACAGGAGCTGATTATACCCTGTTCTCTTATGTATTTTAACAGTGGTAGAGCCACGCGGCAGCTTTTGCTGTCGCACGGATGGGCCGGCTCGAACCGGGGTACCACGACCTAACAGAAAACCAGCGTGAAGTAGCGGCTTACTTCTGCGTTTCGCTTGGTGAGCGCAGGTGGCCGGAGGCCCTTTTTACTGGAAATGAGGCATTCCATCTAAGTCCTCACAGGTGACAACGCATTTTGATTTGTAACAGAGGATAGATGTAGATGTCTATGGGTCGCAGCAACCACTTACCATCAGGTGGACTGTGTGCTCGTTTGTCACCCTTATCATATAAAAAAAACATGCTGCACTGTGTGAATGTTGTCTATAGTGCACAATCCTTCTAGAAACCTGGCCTATCCCGCAGGTTGAAAGTCTTCGTGCGAGTCGATTTGTTAACACCCTCGGAAACAACTTATAGAATCGAGATCAGAAATCAGATACGAGATGGATCGGTTTAATTTTTCAGCATAATCTTGTCACTTTTCTTGTGAAACAGGCCTGTAATGCTTCTGCCCCACTAAAAACTCGATATAGTTCTTTTAGCTAGTTGACTACTAGGTTGACTTCCAGCTTTAGAGAGCTCCGTTGTAACTCCGTCTTCTCCTGGGGCTTTTCTATTTTTAAGTTGGCCGAGGGTAAGTTCCATCTCCCCAAAGCAGATGTCTGGCAGCTCGTCGTTATAGTGTCGGGTCTGCGTGGCTCTAGCAATCGCATTTAGGGTCAGGTTGTAGCTTAGTTAAGCATTCAGTTTACCGTAATTGTCTTCAATTTTAGGGTTATAGAGAACCAATATAATTCCAGGCATTCTAACTTAGTTTTTACAGGTGACTACACGTTTGAAGTCTTTTTAGGTATGAAATTGGTTTCAGCTGTCAATGGACAACAGTAGCCACTAACCATATGGACTGTAAGTTCATTTGTCAATTCAGTTTTATAGACATAAAATAAAAATAAAAACAAAACCTTAAAGCTAAAAATCTGCTGAAATTATTATTTTTTTAATTTGAAACATTTTGATAAAAATAAAATATCTCTAGTGTATTCGACAATATAACAAATATTAGACTAACTTGTGGAGCTCAACTATTTCTTTTAATAACTGTACCCCATCCGTTTTAAAATCGCACACAATCTTTTCGCCAAAAAAAAACATTTAGCCCTTTTTTAAACACATTCTCCATCGACACGAATTCGAATTTAAAGCCTGAGACCAATTTCAAAATATATTATTTTAGTTTTAGTTTTAAAACATAAAAAAATCTTATTTTTTTACCAATTGACTCGTACTGTTGTATTTTGCTAGTGTTAAGTAATAATTAATTATCAAATACATCATAATTTGTTTAAAATTTCCTTCACAATATGTTGATGCGTCACATTGCGAAGTTTTTGGAGATTTTGACGGCAGCTTGAGCCAGCAGACAGTCGATGACAATAGTATCTCAAGGCACCAAAGGATATAATAACTTGAGATTCACATCGTCACCGTCGGAGCACTTCATCGAGCCTTCTAATAGTTAACGTCCGCTGAGACAAATTCGCACTTTTACGTATCAAAACCAATTTCAAACTCTTATTCAAACGATAAACCGGAGCAGCAATACACCGACAGTCAAGTTTCCGCCAAAACCGAATATTGTTCTTTTTTAATTGTAGAAACACATAATTTTGTTCGTCTTTTTTTTTAAACAAAGATAGGCCAGTGCAATTTTATATTCTTTAGTTCCGAAGAAGAATCAAATGTAGTACGAATAATACCAGATTCACCTGCGTAGATTATCAGTTCTGGCGTCTGGGTTGGTATCGCGTATATAATTAACTCCAAAACAACGAGAGTTAAAATTGATATAATTGTTTCACAAGTATGTACCATTTTATAGGTGCCTTTTTGACCAGTTTCAAAAAGAGCCTATCTTTATTTGCTTTTATTAGCTGTTTGAAAAGTGTATTGTAGTGCAAGGTGGTTGTAATCTTCGGTACACTCTTACTGCGAGTCTTACGTGAGCAGCGAAGTGATCAAAAGCAGTGCGTTGTATTTTATACGTTTTCATCGGATACTTATACAGCACATAAGAATCACATTATCGTTGCCGCGATGTATGATGACGATTATGAAATATATTATGGTGCATTTAAAACCAAGTCCATATCCAACGCGCTGCGATTGTTTTGGTAACATGCCACAGTTTTTTATATATTAAAATTGGCGCGTCATCGATGACGTGATTCAAGGTGAAAGTGCTTAAAAGAAACCAAAATATATAACTAAAGTCAATTACTTTTGACAAATATTTTTCAATATTGAAATATTTCCGTAATGAAATCAGTGGGAAAATACAAGTAGAGTTGAATATAAAAGAGAGGTTACAAGAGTTTTAAATACTTACAAAGCACTTTTCTTGAATAGAACCACAATAAATTCTAATGCAACGGTTGTACACATTATGAATGATGAAGCATGACTCTACGCGAGAAAAAGTAGGAACCCAACGTGCGCTTGTTCAAAAATGTTAGAAAGGGGATGTAGAATTTAATCATTTATTTGCCAAAGTTTGAATGAAAGACCCAAGATTCAGTAAAAGTGGGAGATTCCTTATTCACTAAATCACAGACAGAAGATGTTTATTAATATTTCATGGTGAAAAATGTTATATACCCACAAAGGATTTACGTTCAGCTGCCTTATATTACAAATTTCGTCGGGAGAGGCGCAATCAAATCCCACTGCACAAACAGCCGCTAGTCTTAACATTATATCGAAGTTGTTCGCTTTCATAGCTGAAAAGTATAAAGCGAGTGAATGTTATTAATACTAATGTGCTCCGAACCGCATTTCGGTTGTGTACAGCAGCCATGACAGGCACTACAAAGTATACTCTGCATTCACTTACTCTCATCTAAATCTAGATGGACACAAACCCTTATAAAACCTTTCAAGTATACGGTTTCTGGATTAAGCGTTTGATTACGATGCTGTTTGTATAACCATATATTTTTTTAGATGTTTGTCCATGTATCATTTACTTAATATTAGGCCATAAGAGGGCTGGTTTTTTTCTCGCTCATAGCCTAAGTATAGCCATTCAGCGTGGAAACGCAGCCAGCGTTCATGGCAGGATACCGCGAGGAGTAGGACTGTATGACAATTAAGTTACTAGTTTCAGTTTTTTTATTATAGTTTTTAATATTGTATATAATAAAATATTGTATTTCTAAATATTTAAATTGCTTTAGCTTAAATAATAGCTTTAGGATTCGGGGCTTTAATAGTCCATTACGGTATACATTATGTCTGTTTATGTTTTGACTATGTCTTAGCCCTGAGTTACATTAAAAACTTAATCCCATATTTTGTTTATTGATGTTTTCTATATATTTAATAAAAAAAGAATAATTAAAATCAGTCTAAACTCGAATTGAGATCCATCTCTTTTTTTGAAGTCTGCTAAAAGTAGCGAAATCTCGTACCGTAAAATATTTGCGCTCTCGGCATTACACCCTTGAAGTGCTGTATGCGTTGGTATGCCTCGTCCATGTTGAACACGTAGATTGGCTCTTTTTGATATCCGCTCTCTATTACAGCCCGTGCTACGTCAGCCGGTGAATGGTTCTCCAGCACAAAGGCTGAATGGCTCGCAATTTCATTTTGTATCGTTCCATTCATTGTCTGAAGTACATAATATAAAAATCCATTACGCGTGAAGTAACGAAATGAAATGGGTTTAAACATATTAAATATGTATTCCTGAGTTGCTGTGTTCAGGAATGAAGGACGGAGGGGAGGGGGGGGGGAGTTGCAGCGTTCTGCGTTGTGGTATCGAGGATAAATTTAGATATCTATGGTCCACAGCATCCACTTACCATCAGGTGGACTGTGTGCTTGTATATCACCGCCCATTCTATAAAAAAAGATCGTATCACTATAATATAGAGAAACGTATAATATAGAGTATAATATAAAGTGTAATATAGAGAAACGTAACTTGTCTATCTCTTTTTCCATCTCCACGATCTTCTCGTCAGTCCTCAGGGTGCGTGCGTTGTATGTTGACAGGTTGAGTCGTCTTAGGTGGCAACCGAACCTCCACCATAGCCAGGAATAGCGGGGTCGCCGGGGACTGGGGGCTGTCTCTTCATGATTAATAATAACCCCATGGAATGAGATAATGGCTACCATGCATTGTGTGAATATTATATTGTAAATTATGCTTTTAATAAAAGTCCCGCTGGGTTTCATGCTGGTATTTCCCAGGACAGACGCTTTTTCCGAACCAGTGGTAAAGGCAAAAAATGACTTTCAATAAGAAATAAATGTATGAATGTTCTTCGAATAATGTTAACTACTTTATTGTAATAAATAACTGATTACGAGTCTTCTCATAGCTTTTCTAGTATTATGTAATATCATAAAGTGCATATCGCACAGCTCCAGTATCCTAAGTACATGCCTATACAAGCCACAAACATAAACCGAAATTCTAATATCAACGAGCGATACATGCAGCGAACTCCCGTCGACCATTAATATTCCACGAAGCTTGCATTTCTGTAAACATCGGACATTATTGCAAAATATTTGATGAAAGATGAAGCATAGACATACGAATATAATGCACCTCGTAAATAATATTTATAATTAAGTAGAAAGTAATCAAAATTTAGACTGCAAACATAAGCTCATTTTTTATAAACTATATAAATGTAAAGTTACAGTTTATATGTAGGTCAGGAAGTAATGTGAAACTAATATAGTTCTATTGTTAAAGTTTTAATTATTAAATCATTTGAAAATCTTTCCACTAGTATCCTATCTGGTTAAAAGTTGCATGCGTCTGAACCCATTTTCTAAATAGTTTTTCAAGGCTGCTTCAGACAACATGATTTTGTTTGACTTTTTTTTTAAACAAAGATAATATTTTACCTTGCAACAGGCCATGCACCTCGTAAATAATATTTATAATTAAGTAGAAAGTATTCAAAATTTAGACTGCAAACATAAGCTCATTTTTTATAAACTATATAAATGTAAAGTTACAGTTTAATGTAGGCCAGGAAGTAATGTGAAACTAAAATAGTTCTATTGTTAAAGTTTTAATTATTAAATCATTTGAAAATCTTTCCACTAGTATCCTATCTGGTTAAAAGTTGCATGCGTCTGAACCCATTTTCTAAATAGTTTTTCAAGGCTGCTTCAGACAACATGATTTTGTTTGACTTTTTTTTTAAACAAAGATAATATTTTACCTTGCAACAGGCCAGTGCAATTTTATATTCTTTAGTTCTAAAGAAGAATCAAATGTAGTACGAATAATACCAGATTCACCTGCGTAGATTATCAGTTCTGGCGTCTGGGTTGTTATCGCGTATATAATTAATTCCAAAACAACGAGAGTTAAAATTGATATAATTGTTTCACAAGTATGTATCATTTTATAGGTGCCTTTTTGACCAGTTTCAAAAAGAGCCTATCTTTATTTGCTTTTATTAGCTGTTTGAAAAGTGTGTTGTAGTGCAAGGTGGTTGTAAGCTTCGGTACACTTTTACTGCGAGTCTTACGTGAGCAGCGAAGTGATCAAAAGCAGTGCGTCGTATTTTATACATATCATGGGATACGTATACAGAAAGTATTGCGAAACTAATAAAAGTTATATTGTTAAAGTTTTAATTACTAAATCGTTTCAAAATCATTTCACTAGTATCCTATCTGGTTAAAAGTTCCATGCGTCTGAACCCATTTTCTAAATAGTTTTTCAAGGCTGCTTCAGAAAACTATCCCATTCCCTGCTCAACACTACTGGCGCATCTTCTAGTGATGAAAACTATATCCCTTTGCGTTGAATAAAAGAAGTCACACGGTGCCAAATCAAAGTGTGACACAAAATCTTAATTAGTGTGCTGTCCAGGAAATTCCTCGTTCTGAGCGTTGAGTGCAAGTGCGTGTTGTCATGGTGAAGCAATAGACCTCAGAGCCCCTTGTTCAGCCGCTTGTTTCTCACAGCAGTTAATACTTCTGGCTAGCATTTGGTAATATTCTATTTGGAATTGATGCCACTTCGATTTTTTTATAGAAATTCATACCAGGTGCCCCCGTCAAAGTGAAAAAAAAAAAAAACTAGAGACACAAACCTGTCCTGTGCTTTTAGATCGCTTCAATTTGGCGTGGGTTCTATTTAATTTTATTAATTTTTTTTATTATTTTTGTTTATTTAATTTTATTAAACAAACGTGTGCAGTTTTGATACTTATAAATAGTAAAATAAGAAAAACAACACCTAGATATTGTGTTTCCTTGCTAGGTCTAGGCGAAATAATATCCCCACAAAATATATTTTTTTCGATTAGATACGGGTTTTTGGTGATTAATCTAGGTGGTTAGTTTGTTGTTAAAATTGATTTAAGAATTTCAATAGCGCTGACGAGGATTAACTCGGATTGTTCGCGTTTTATGAAATTTAACGTTAGTATCCTAGTGACCATATTCAAAGACAAACTATTTTATAAGAATAAAGAACTACTATATAAGATGGAAAAACTTATAACGTAGTTCTGTATTCTTATTAAATAGTGGCAAAATTTTCTTTAATTAAGTTATACCTAACAAGTATATATTAGGTATAACCTAAATAAAGAAAAGTTCATTTTAGAAAGTAATTTTTTTGCTTGCGGTCATTGGCAAGGTAAACACAACCGTCGGAACTTCTCCGCCACTTGGATAGACTATTGTAAGAAACTATTCCATTTCTGTTTCTCTTAGAATTACAGACTGATGTATCTTAGTCGCCTGTGCGATACTTTATACTGCTAAAACAAGTGAGAGATTACCATTCTACCTTCATTTGTACGTATTTCCTTTAATTTTTTTACCCTCATTCCCAACACTATATAATATTTCCTATAGGGTTCTCGAGTTGTACAAGATAAACTTTACAGTAAGAGACTTCCTCGAATATGTGTGTGTATGGGGTAGTTGAGTATGATCTTTTGCCACATGGGCGAGTGGATGACGGCTGTGGAGAACCGCATAAGGATAAGAGGGGGATTCTCTGAGTCCAATCTGGTTCTGCCTCTTCCTGAACTTTCTCAGTACCTTACTGGAAGGCTACGGGAGGGAATTTCAGCTTCGAAAGAGAGGGAAAAAGTGACCCAACTATTCTACATGGATGATCTCAAGTTATTCCGCAGTAGCCACTTGTGACTTTCATATCTGTAAAGACCAAGTCCCTGAAGACTTGGTGATTTTGGCATGATAATGTTGTTGAGAATCCGAAGTAAGAATAAAATTAGCTAGCTATATGAAGGTGTCACGAGATTAGTGTGTAATAGATGCTCGTAAGTGATTTTCATTAGGTAAGGAAACTCGAATAATGGCACCCAATTAATAACCGAATAATTATATATCATTAGATTTCGAAGTACAATTAAAACGTATTCACAAACGAACACTATTCTCCTAAAGTAGATTTACCGCGTCAATATCTGTGTTAGTCTAAATTGGGAACAATAAATCCTCTTCGCTTCTGATGTTTCTGAAAGATCCAATACTAAGCTTTAATGTTCAATATTACAACACTATTATGCCTAGATTCAATGTTTTTTTTTTTAAATAATTATTTGTGTTAGTAATAAAAATATAATGCACGGAATGAGTAGATGTTTTTTTTATTTTTAAATAATGTAACCTCACCGCTATGATTTTCTCTTGTATCGTGGGTGCAGTTTACATACATAACATATTTACAAGGACAAACATACAGACCCGAAACAATTATTTATAGGCTATAGTAATACTTGTTTCGAGGATTCTAACCCGCGGCTCGCGGCCTTTTGCGCTTCAACTCATTGCTAAGCCACTGCGCCACGGAACCGTCCTAATTGACTTTAGTCGTAAGTGAGGCTGTAAAGCAATTATTATGCGATCAGCACATGAATATTTACCCGACGGTGAAGAAAAACATCGTGAGGAAACCTGCAAGTCTGTGAAATAAGAAATAAGAAAAAAAATATTACCAAGACATGTGAAGTTCGACAACTTGTATTGGGGCAGCGCGCCAGACATTTTCTCGCCCTAAAATCCTCCTAGAAATGATAGTAGGCCTGTGCCTGGCAGTGAGACGTACATACATAGGCTGTAACTTTAACTTATCGGCATGTGTACGCCAAGGTGTGGTGCTGATTGTGTAAAGAAAAAAACGTTTAAATGTTGAATTGTCTACTTACTATACAAAATATTCTGAAAAAAATAACTAAGCTTTTTATTAATTTTAATAAACAGGAAAACATGTTCAACTTATTCTAAGCACACGCATTCATGAACACATATGCAGCTAAATAGTACGTTCACTAACAAAATAGTTTAAGACGCGAACGTGAGTCCAGCAGTGGACTTTTATAGCCTGTTAAATTTTAAAAAATGAAACATGTGTGCATGAGTGCGCATCAATAAGGTGAGCTTGGTTTTGGTGTCAATGATGATCCACGAATATTTCGACTTTTTTGATGAAATTTTATAAAATTATTATTTTAGGCCTTAGCTAATAATTAATGGTATAATTTCAAAACTTCAATCGTTTTCGTTCCGAAATTTTAGAAAGTTTCCATTTGATAGAGCTCTCCATATTATGAGTATATATTTGTAACACTGCTTCCAGTATATAAATTTTAGCT